CCCCAACAAATCATGTGCTTTCCAACCCTCACCCTGCAAAAGTCACCTGCGTCCTCATCCCTACTCCTCCAAAACTCTTGGTCGTCTCAGCTTCTGTCCCTCCCCTAACAGATCAAATGCATCTCAACTCCTGCCTATCCCCAGAAAATCACTGATTCTGTAGATTCCCCGACAAGAAAACCTTTGCCACTCAACCCCCATGGACCTCCAGCCTCTAAAACCACACACTGAATAAATCTTGATTTTTTTTTTCTTTTTGTACCAAGGATTGAACTCAGAGGCACTCAACCACTGAGCCACATCCCCAACCCTTTTGTATTTTATTTAGAGACAGGGCCTCGCTGAGTTGCTTAGTGCCTCACCGTTGCTGAGGCTGGCTTTGAACTCACAATCCTCCTGCCTCAGCCTCCAGAGCCTTTGGTATTTCAGGTGTGTGCCGCTGCACCCGGCTTTCCTTCTTTATAAACCACCCAGTCTCGAGGACTCTGTTATCGCAGCAGAAAATATATGAAGATACCACACCTGCTTTAAAATATCCAAAAGCTCTGTGGGGGAACAGTTGTCTTGCATCTCAAAGCTCTGAGTTTGATCTCTAGCACCCCCCMAAAAAAAATCCAGTGATTCAAATGTTCCCCAAACTCTTCTCCAACACAACTCAAAGAGAAAAAAATAAGACTTGGGCTGGGTCTGGGGTTCAGCAGTAGAGCACTTGCCTWGCACAGGTGAGGCCCTGGGTTTGATCCTCAGCACCACATAAAAATAAATAAGCAAAGGTCTTGTGTCCAACTACAACTAAAAAATAAATAAATATTTTTTTAAAAAGACTTCAGGAAGCAGCTTCATACTTGGGAAAAAAAGAAAAAATGATGTTAAGCCTTTTTTCTGAATAAAATTCATTATTATGAATATTATGAATAAAATTATGAATAAAATTATGAATAAAATTCTTTGTTTTAATACTTGAATAATGTTTTTTGTGTATTTCTTGAGTGGTGGACTTTTTGGGGCTTGTTATGTGTTTCTTTCTTGGATCTTGGATGGTTGAATGTTCACAGAAACATCCCCTGGTGTACACTGGAGCGTGAAGGGGCCCCAGCCCTGTGTGGATTACACCTCTTTGGGGGTCTGGCTTGCCCGCCAACTCTTGGCTGTACGTAGGAAAGCCTATGTCTGCAGGAAGACAAGTACCATGTGTTCTCTCTCACAGGTGGAAACTAAATAAAAGCCACTCTGAAGGTAGAGTACTGAGTACTARCCATTAGGAAGGGTGCAGAGGAGTGGATTTGATCAGAGCAGACACCATGCGTGTGTGGGAATYGATGCACAATTAACATATGTTAAATTTTTAAGTTTAAAAATAAGGTGTCTATTTTATTCTCTGCTCTACTCCTAGATGTACCACAGGTCATTGAACAACATTGTCTTAGAAAATTTTCTCTTTGACTCCAGGTGTCACTACGGTCCCCAGCTGGCCTTGAACTCTGGGACTCAAGCAACCCCTCTGTCTCAGTCACTCAAGTAGCTGGGACTCCAGGCCATAACTGGCCACCACACCAGGCTGGTAGATATTGATTAAAGGTGGGAAAGGTTGAGAGACCTTTCCTCCAAAATCTTTCATCATTTTGGATTGCCCCCAAATAACCAAAAAAATGTATAGTCCTCTGTCATATTTTGAGACGCCGGTCAGAACTGGAAAGTGTCATTTGCTTGGGGGGACGCAGATTTCCAAGAATTGGGAAAACGAATCCTCTAGGAACTTTTATTGTCAACACAAACACCCTAAATTCTGGCTTATCCCACTCAGAAACCTCAGATCATTTAAAATCTGTTTTGAATCCAAAGGCACTTTCTGGTCTTGGGGCCACACAATGTAACCCAAGAGCCTTTCTGGACTGGAGGCAGCAGATCCTGTCATCCCAAAGGCAATCAACAAAACCAGGAAAACCCACCGCCAGGAACCCTAAGAAAACGAGCACACAAATGGTGTCAGAAGTAAACACACACAAAAGAAAACCACAGAAACTTGGGTCTGATGATGAAAGAGGAAGAGAAGTCACTTTTAGACCAGCAATTGCCTCAGTAGACCTTGTGTCCAGTCTCATGAGATTCCCTGAGACTGCAGAGGTGGCTGGCTGAGGGCACAGGAGGAGGCCTGCAGAGCTGGGCGCGTGGCCTGCACCACAGAATGCAGGGGTCACTTCTGGCAGGTATGTGAGCGCGGCGGTCACTCCTGTGACCCTCCCCATCAAGGGTTACTTGGTTCCATCATGATCTAGGTTTTCCTTCTGCTTTGAATATTCTCTCCGTCTCCCCTTCATTTCTGGCTTCCACCGGAATCTCACTAGGCTGTTGACTTTCCCTGACATTTTCCACAAGGTCCAGTCCAGTGAGATTGTCATCTCCCTCTTCTTCTGTTTTTTTTTTTTTTTCTTTTTTCCTCTCCTAATTGCCACCCTCCCTGTCTTGAATACCCTGTGTACCAGCGCCACCCCGATTCATTTTCCTCCCCATCATGCTGTTCTTTTCTCCTCCTTTTTCTCTTTCCTGTGCCGAGAATATTAAGTATAATGACCAACACTTTTGAGTACTCACCATGCATCCAACGTGTACAGATAGTCCCCAAATTATGAGGGTTCAGCTTGCAATTTTCCAACCTGGCAATGAAGTGTACCTAGGCAACAGTTCTGTTCTTCACTTTTGAGGGCAGTACTGGAATATTGCATGAGATATCCAACAGTGGATTATAAATAGGTTTTCTGCGAGATGGTTTTGCCCAACTGAAGGCCGAGGTAAGTGTTCTGAGCTCATTGAAGTTGGACTCTGCTAAGCTGTGCTGATCACTAAGTTATGTGTATCAACTTGTGATATTCAACTTGTGCTGGGTTTATCAGAATGTAACCTTACGCTGAACTGAAGGGCATCCATGTAATCCCATTTAATCCTCACAGTAGACCAGGGAGGTGGGCACTATTATCCCCATTTCACAGATGACAAGATATGGACACAGAGAGGTTGTTATTTGTCTGAGGTCAAACAGCTGAAAACTATTCAAATAACAGTGACAGAATTCATACCCAAGGCTTCTGGCCTGAGATCTGTACTATACTGGAGACCTCAGTCTTTCCAATCCCTGTCTCTTGTGATTCTATGGCTTTAGTGACCAGCTCTTTGAAACCCCATTTTTGAAACCCCATCCATCCTTCAAATAATATCAACAGCCACAATATCAAACAAAGCTTCATTTCATTAAGCACCTGTAGAGGGGCTGGGGCGGTAGCTCAGGGGCAGAGCCCTTGCCTAGCATGAGTGAGGCACTGGGTTCSATCCTCAGCACCATGTAGAAATAAATTAATAAAATAAAGGCATTCTGTCCATCTACAAAAAAATTAATTAAAAAATATTTTTAAAGGCACCTAAAGAAGCCTGACTTCAGGCTAAAATTGCTTCCCACTGATTAGGACACAGGGTCCTCACATTATAGATGAGAAATGGCACCGTGGAGAAGTTATGTGGGTTGCTAGAAGTGTCACTGCCACTTAGATATTAAAGTCTATTGCCTGCTTCTGAAACTATCAAAATGCATCACCTACTTGGAGGCAAATGTCCTCACCCTTGCAGCTTCCAGCAGAGACTCCCACATATAGAAGGTGTTCGGTACATATCTGTGGAGTCCAAGGTGAGACAAGCTCCAAGCAAGATATTTCCTGGTTTTGTTTTTTGGTTGGTTTGTTTTTGTTTTGATATTGTTTGTGGTTGCTTTGTTTTCTTTTTTTTTTTTTTTTGCAACTGGAAGAAGAGTCCTGGATATTTCTAAGATGGATTGTTTGTGAATTTCAGTTATCCATGGACTCTCTGCCCACATCATTGGACAGAAGCAGCTTGTGTGGTGGAATGGGCATCAAGTCAAGAATTAAAATAGATTCTAATCCAAATGATAATCGAAGTAGCAATGATGGGGTGCATGTAACACGTTCCACATGTTCCCCAATTTAGCTCCTCACCACAATCTCATGAAGTAGGCTATGCTGGACCATATAAGGAAACAGAGAAGTCAAACAGCCTCACCAACCTTGCACATCGAGAGTCCTAGCAACTTAACTCCTGAGGACCTCTTTCCTCATCCACAAAATGAGTCAAGGAGTGACTTCTAATTTCTTAGAATTCTGAGCTTCCACTCTGCTGAATGACCCTTTGGAAACTCTAATTTAAGACACATTCACCCATATTAGCAAGTTTGGGGTTAGTAGCTTGTACAAAGACTCATCTTAAACATGACGGTGCCCAGACAAGGAGCTACTCTATTCAGACATATATTTTACCATCTGGCTCTGTGAACTAGTTATATTTGGGAAGGTGTGAAGCTTAAGTGTCTGCTGCAACATTAATTGTTTCACAAAAATAAAAGGAAGGGAGTTTTTAAGGAAACATGGAAGGGTCAGGCCATGAAGCAGTTCATAGCTACCTTAGTCAGTTTTACATGGCTATAACAAAATCCCTGATATAAATAAATTAAAAGGATGAAAGACTTATTTGGGATCACAGAGAAATCAGAGATTTCAGTCCAGGCTTGCTGGGCCTCATTTTTTTGAATCTGTAATGAGGCAGGACACCACCAAGGGAAAGCATAGTAGAGCAAAGTTGCTCACCTCATGGTGGCCAGGTAAAAAGAAAGAGAGAGAGAAGAAGGGGCTTGGGTCCCATGGTTCCCTTCAAAGGCATGCCCCCAATGACCTAACTTCCTCCCATTAGGCTCCACCTCTTAAAGGTTTCTCCACTTCCCAATTACACCATAGGCTGGCAACTCAGCCTTTACAGATGGTGGGCCTTGGGACACTCAAGATCCAAACTTCAGCAGGAAGAGCATCCTGAATTATCCACGTGGGCCTAATGTCATCRCAAGGGGAAGGCAGGAACCAGAAAGAAGAGATCACAGTGTCGAATCTAAAGGTGGAGTAAGTCAAAGAACGTGGGCCTCTTTTACAGGCTAGAAAAAGCAAGCCAAAAGTTTAGCCTGGAGAGACTGATTCCAGACCTCTAACCTCCACAACCATAAGAGGATATGTTTGAGCTGAGTTAAGCCACTAAGTTCATGGTCATCTGTCATAGCAGCCATCAGAGACGCTTGGAGGTCCCGACGGGTTTCATATCACTCTTTCTCCAATTCTTGAAGGATCACTGCCAGACTTTTCTCCCAAATCCTGCCGTTGGTCTGGATTGACCCAAAATGACCAAATAAATTTACTGGACTTTGAGACTCAGATCTGGATCTCGAGATGGGTAAAGAGGTCATGAGCCAAAGAAGGAAGGTAGCCTCTAGAAGCTGGAAGGACGTGGTTTCTTCCCTAGAACTTTCAAAAGGAACCAGGGTGGGTGGATGGGTGGATGGAGGGATGGATGGATGGATGGATGGATGGATGGATGGGTGGATGGGTGGATGGATGGATAGATAGATTTGAGAAGGGATTTGTTAGGGAATTTTCTTACATGATTATGGAGACTGAGAAGTTCTACAGCTGGCCATCTGTAAGCTGAGACCCAGGGATGTCTGTGTGGCTCAGTCCAAGTCCAGAAGCCTCGGCACCAGGGAGGTTGATGGTGTAACTCTCAGTTCAAAGACAAAGACCCGAGAACCCGGGGGATGGGAAAGGGTACTGCTGGCAAAAGTCCCAGAATCCAAATGTCAGAGAACTTGGAGTCCTGTCTGGCATCCAAGGGCAGCAGAAGACAGGTGTCCCAGCCCCAGGAGACAGAGGAAGCTCACCTTCCCTTTGCGCAGCCCTCAGCCGGTTGTATGGTTCCTGCCCTCCATAAGGGAGCGGGGAGGTCCTCCCGACTCAGTCCACCAACTCAGGCCAATCTCCAGAAGCACCTCACACCCACACCCAGGTATAAAGCCTGGCCAGTTCTCCAGGTATCTTTTTACCCAACCAAGACAACGTAACTAAAATTAACTGACCCAGGTATTATGGAGACAGGACTGGGCTTTGCCCAGCTCCACCCCAAGATATTAATGACTGATGGAGGGTGATTCCTGAGTTGAGAGCTTCAGTTCTTCCAGGTGAAAAGAGTTATGGAGATGGGTGGAGGTGGCTGCTGTACCGAACTCCACTTAGAAATGATGAGGGTAATTTTATGTCATGTGTGGGTTACCAAAATAAAATGATGGGGGGAGACATCAGTGAGTGTTGTGATTTGGATGTGTTCCCCCAAAGTTCATGTGCTGGAAACTTAATCCCCAGGGCAACGGTTTTGAGAGGTGGGAACTTTAAGAATGGATTTCATGTCATGACCCTGGGAGTTGGTTCATGATCACAGGAGAAGCTTCCTATAAAGGATGRCATCCCCCCTCCTCTCCCCACCCCCTCTCCYYCTCTCTTCCAGTTCTGCTTTCTGGCATGTTTTGATGCAGCAAGGCACCTCTAACCACAAAAATATAACGGGCACCTCACTTGGACTTCCTAACCTCTAGAACCATGAGTCAAATTTCTGCTCATTATAAATACCCACTCTCTGGTTCTGTGTAATAGGAACATACAACAAACTKAAGCAGTGATCGAGATAGATTTTACTGGATCGTTCACAAGCCAGATGAAGGGGAGATTGCATCACGGGGCATGTTGCATTTTACTCAAAAAAATTACAATTCCCACCTCCTCACTTCACAGCCACCAGCTGCCACATGTCCTCTCTGCTAACTGACACACAGTCCTTGGAGGAGTTACTGGAATCTTTCCTCAATTTTCTCATGTCTCTCCCTTCTGTTCCAGGACTCTGCTTTCTGCTGAGCTTGTCTGGAGCTGAGGCTCAGGTTGTCAAAGGTGAGTGTCCGGAGCCTGACAGGTGGCTGTGAATCAGGGGTGGACCTGGGGCCACCCTTGTCCTCAAACACGGGAGGTCTTTCCATCTTATAAAGTCTTCTTCGATTTCTTCCTTCAGTGTGCCGTGGTTTCCATTGTAGAGGTCTTTCACCTCTTTGGTTAAACTGATTCCCAAGTATTTTATTTTTTCAAAGCTACTGTTTTCCTAATTTCTCTTTCAGCARATTCATCATTGGTGTATAGGAATGCAACTGACTTGTGGGTGTTCATTTTATGTCCTGCTACTTTTCTGAATTTATTTATGAGTTCTAGAAATTTTCTGGTGGAGTTTTTGGGGTCTTCTAAATATAGAATCATGTTATTGGCAAATAGACTTTCATATCCCTTTAATTTCTTTCTTTTATTTAATTGCTCTGGCTAGAGCTTCAAGGATTATGTTGAATAGAAGCCGTGAAAGAGGCCACCCCTGTCTTGTTCCAGTTTTTAGAGGGAATGCTTTCAGCTTTCCTTTATTCAGGTTGGCCTTGGGTTTGACACATAYAGTTTTTATAATGTTGAGGTATGTTCCTACTATCCCTAGTTTTTCTCGTGTTTTGTATGTGAAGTAGTCTGTATTTTGTCAAATGCTTTGTCTGCAGTTATTGAGATACTCGTGTGATTCTTGTCTTTAAATCTATTGATGTGATGAATTACATTTATTGATTTTGGTATGTTGAACCAACCTTGCATTCCTGGGATGAGCCCCACTTGATCATGATGCACTATCTTTTTAATATGTTTTTTATGTGATTTCCCAGAATTTTATTAAGAATTTTTGCATCTAGGTTCATCAAGGATATTGGTCTGAATTTCTTTCCTTGATGYGTCTTTGTCTGGTTTTGGTATCAGGGTGATGGCCTCATAGAACAAGTTTGGAAGGGCCCCCTCCCTTCCTATTTCATGGAATAATTTGAGGAGGATTGGTGTTCGTTCTTCTTTAAAGGTCTTGCAGAATTTGGCTGAGAATCCATCTGATCCTGGGCTTTTCTTTATCGGTAGGCTTTTGATGGTGTCTTCAGTTTCATTACTYGAAACTGATGTTTAAATTGTCTCTGTTCTCCTGGTTTAGTTCTGTAGGTCATACGTCTCAAGAAATTTGTCAATGACTTCAAGATTTTTCTAATTTTCAAAATCGTTTCTGATGATCCTCTGCATTTCAGTAGCTCCTGTGGTGACGCTTCCTTTTTTCATTCATGAATTTTAATAACTTGAATTTTTCCCTCTTTCTTCTGGTTAGAGATAATACCTTGCCTTCTAGCAGATAATAATGGAAAGAARTGAGAAATCAACAAGATACAAAATAGAAGCTTCTCTAACACCTGGATATGGAATGCCTCCAGCATGGATTGCTCTTTTTGCTGAGGAATTGCTTTGACTGTTCTGGGTCTTTGRTTTTTCCCTGAGTGTTCAACCCCAGGGCTGCAGATGCCCCACGCATACTTACTACTCATCCCAAAGAAATAACTTGGAGAGCTCAAGGGAGAGGTTTGGAACATTTGACCTCTTCCTCCTCAGCAGCAGGGAGTTGGAATACAGGGAGACTTCCCGGTGCCTACAGAATGGGGACTACCTAGGGCAGGTTGCTGGCCACTGCCCAGGTGGTCTCTTCAGATGTCTTGTGGGTACATTCCTCTACTTCCCAACCAGGGTCCCTCTGTTTGGATCCTCTCCTGAGGACTGGGGATGAGGGAAGTGACCAGCTCCCCCTCCCCATTTCCTTTGTTACCCCCATCTTTAGAGACCTTCCCTCACCGCGAGCTTTCTTAGGCACTGATTAGTGTTTGACCCGACACTGTGAATTTTAGGATTTTTTTCCTAGTTCCATGAACAATGTCTGCTATTTTGACGGGGACTGCATGGAACCTGGGGATCACTCTGGCAAAATGGCCGTTGTATCAATATTCATTCTGCTGACCTGTGATSGGGAGGGCCACGTGAGGTTTGACCCGCCTCTCTTCTCCCGGCAGGCCCTTGCAATCRGTGCCCCTTGCACGGATCCTGCGTCAACAGCACTCACTGCACCTGCAACCCTGGATTTATTTCTGGATCTGGGAAGCAATTTTTCACATACCCCCTGGAGATATGTAAAGGTAAGGGGCGTTTTGCATGAGGGTCRTGGAGGCATCGTGAGGGATGCAGGTGAGAGAATTCTGGGGAATCTGCCCTGCTGAAAACTGCCACTCAGCCTGCCCCGAGAAAGAGACACCTTGAAGAAGTCGGAAACAGCTGTGCTCTCAGCTGGTCRCAGTGGCRCAGGCCTGTCATCCCAGCCCCTGGGAGGCTGAGGCAGGAGGATCTTGAGCTCAAAGCCAGCCTCAGCAACTTAGTGAGGTGCTAAGCAACTCAGTGAGACCCTGTCTCTAAATAAAATACAAATTAAGGCTGGGGAGGTGAAAGAACAAACAAGGCTCATTGTCAGAGAAAATGCCTGTTTATTGAGGAAGAGCTCTGCATATTTATAGAGCCGGGGGTGGTTTGACAGTTATGACAGTTTAATGGTTGAACGGTTTGACCTTTGGCATGGGGTGCTTTCTGATTGGTGGGTAAGGATCATGTGAGYCAGCAGGGCTAGTCTGATTGRTGGRTAAGGATCATGTGAGCCAGCAGGGCTCACCATTGGAYGGCTCTTCTCTGGGGATGGGGAAGTTAGTCTTTGGRGCCAGGRTGACTCCCAACAGGAGGTGGCTCAGGGGTCGAGGGACCCTGAGTTCAATCCCCAGGTACCCAAAAAAGAAAGGCAGGTTCTTCCAGAATCTACCTGGGTCTCCATKTCCTCCCTTATCCCTCTGGGCTGACAATGCTGACTTCACAAGTGGTGGGGGAACTGAAGAGGATGGTGAATGTGACAATGCTTCTGGAAAAGCATAGTGTCATTTAAAAAAAAAATAAGGAGAGAGAATATGTACTGAAGCAGGAGGAAATAAAAGCTTCAGCTGAAACATTTCTCATATAAAGTTCTGTGGTCACCCAACATGCCAACTGTAGTCTCCATTCAATTATGGGAATGTACTGTCCCGTGGGAYAAAAAGCGCTCCGGGTGGGAATTGGTAGGGGGTTGTTCCCCTTCCCGAGTTCAAGCTCCCTCGTGGGGGGAAGCCTGCAGCCAGGAACTGGCAGTGTCTCTGGCTTCCCTTCTCTTTCCCCCACTTGGCCCTTCCTCCCAGAATCTTGGTAGAAAAGAAACCCTGGAGGGAGAGGAAGAGCAAGGAGTCTTCACCCACCCGGCTCAGGCTCGGGTCGTGGTTTAGCTTCCATGTTCCTGAGACACAGCAGATACTTTGAGGGTAAACTTTGCCAGATCTTTGGGGAGCAGGCCCCCATCCCCCCACCACTCTCCTGCAATTCTYTTGATGACAGCAAGTTCCTCCCTGCACCTTCCTCACCTGCGAACCCTCCAGTCTCCCAGTACCCTCCACTCTCCGAGTGGCCACCCTGCTCCAGCAACCTCCACACTCTGCTCACCTCCAGTCCTGGGGAGACACTCACCTACCTTTAGCCCAAGAAATACGGAAAGGGCATGTGCACAGGTGCACCTCCCTGGCCCCGTCKCCAGCCCAGTGGCTCACTCTTTAGACTTTTCCAAGGGAAGCAGGCACTAATCAGTTTGATCCCCACAAAATGCAAGAAGTAACAAGCCTGGAACACTCCTTAGCACCCCCCTCTCCTCAGCTGAGAAGGGGAGCTAACTATGTGGCATCTGCTCTCTCCAGATAAATCTCTTACTTGCCCACTCCCAACCCGTAACTCACCTGCCTCTGATAAAATTCATAGCAGGACCCTCTCCTTTCAGTTTCCTGCCTTGGGTTTCCTATAAGGCATTTCCAAATGTCCACCCAGCCCGCCATGGAGGTAGTGTGAAGTCTGTTCTCCGGGAGGCCCCTTGGGCACCCTTCCATCCAGACCCAGCAGTTACACACCTAGGAGAACCAGAGAGGTGGYGGTACATAGAGGAAGAAAAGAAAAACCCCATCCAAAAATGTTAGAACCCTTTCATCTGCTTCTAAGAGATTTTGTTAAGGCATGGAGCCCAGCATGCCTTAGGGGCCAGGAAATGTCCCCAGCTCAGGCTGGGAATATTTTTTTCTTTTTACCTGTTAATAGACCTTTATTTTATTGGTTATTTGTGGTGCTGAGAGTCGAACCCAGTGCCTCACACATGCCAGGCGAGTGTGCTACCGCTGAGCCCCAGCCCCAGCCCCAGGCTGGGAACATTTCACATGGATTCCAGAAACCAGACACCATCCCCCTCTGTTTCACTGTCCTGGCCTGCCAAGGTGATCACAATGCTGAGAAACACCTTCAGAAGGAACAAAATGAGAGTTTGCAGCCTTCATCCTTTGACCAAGACCTGGGGTTGCCACTCATGAAAACATAATTATTCTTGCTACCTATTGGGGCATTTTTAAAAATACCCCCAAAACAAGACTCTTCAAACCAGCATTCTGTTTTTCTCATAATTCTGTGAGTCAGGAGCTCTGGAAGGACACGGCCAGGGGTCTCAACTCCATTCCACCGATGTCCACTGAGACAGGAGGAGCCGCCTCCAAGGCAGCTTATTCTCTGACACGTTTGGTCAAGCCTCTCTCCCTCTTTTGTTCTCTCTATCCTTTCATCCATCTCTTTTTCTCTCTCTCTCTCTCTCTCTCCCTCCAGATGTTCTCACTGAGCCTTATGGTCTCAGGGGAGTCAGTCGGCTTGAAGCTGCTGCTCCCTAATCCTGCTCCGTCACCCACAGCCTTCCCCCCCACACCCCTGTCTTCACAGGGCATTTTCTTCTTCTTAGAGGAACCTCAGTCACATGAACCTCATCTATTTCTTTTTTTTTTTTTTTTTTTTTTTGGTACTGGGAATTAAACCCAGGACACTCAACCACTGAGCCACAACCCCAGCCCTTTTTATATTTTCTTAGAGACAGGGTCTCACTGAGTTGCTTAGTACCTCACTAAATTGCTGAGGCTGGTTTTGAACTCACCATCCTCCTGCCTCAGCCTCCCGAGCCTCTGGGATCACAGKTGGGTGCYACCGTGCCTGCCACAACCTACCTCTGAAAAGACCCTATTTCCAAGCAAGGTGAAACTCACAGGTTCAAGGTTGGGACTTCAGTCTACACTAGCAGGCATAGGTCAGTATCCAGCATATATAACCTTGACATTTCCCCCCATTCCTCTGCATACCAAATGTGAGGTCTTTTCTGGATACTGGAGACCACTCAGCCCCAGCTCCTGAGAGGCAGAAAAGCTGGCTGCTTCCTGGGAGCACCAGCAACAGTGCCTGTTGGTGGGTAAACGCCCACGTCTTCTCCCTTCCAGAGAGAGAATGCGGACAGGTGTGCTCTACATTGCCTCCCAGAGGTTCTCAGAGGAACTGCACCCCAGGTGCCCCCTAGGGAAATTTGCTAAATAACATCCCTTTCATCATCTGCCTTCCCTTCCCTTTCTCATTTCACCACTTCCCTCTCAAGTGTTTTCTGGAATCAACTCCCAAATAAAGCGCTTGCACTTGAATCCTTGCTTCGATGTCTCCTTCTTAAAAAAAAAAAAAAACCCAAGCAAAATCAACCAAGAAAGAACAAAGACAATCACTACCTAAACGAATTTATCTCCAATACCCAGGACAGACCCTGGGGGAAAGGGCACAGCGTCTGGCACAGAGTAGATGCTCAATAAATGTCCATTGGATGACTGGCCAAATTTTCCCTTTGTCTTTCAGATATCGATGAGTGTAAACCGCCCATCAGTATATACTGTGGATTAAATGCTGAGTGTAAGAATGTCGAAGGAAGTTTTCACTGTCGCTGCGTGCCTGGATATGCGCTCCTCTCTGGAGATGTGCAATTCAACAATTCCAATGAGAACACTTGTCAGAGTAAGGCAATTCTTGTCCTCTCGTCTCCCTCCCTCATTTTTAATTGAGTCTAACACAGGGTGGGGGGAGGGGGTTGGACAAAGAAACAGATTTTCTTATTATGGGACCAGATTATGTTTCTATTTCCTGGAAAGAAGATAACAAAGAGAAGGAGGAAGTTCAAGTTCAGAGGAATAGTGGAGTAAGGAGGGCAAGTGTAGTCTGGAGATGGAGGGAATAGAAAGTAGTGATTGAGACAGAATCCTTTGAACCACAAGGAAGAAACTAACTCAGGCTAACTTGTGTGTTCCTATGAATGCATGGATGAGCTTGAACTCCAGGCCAAGAATGAAGCTGGGATTTGRAATTAGCCGGAACAGGTGACCCCAGCATGCTCCGCTCCCTCCACCTTAGTCACCCTCTTGTGTCTGTTCCTTTCTTCTCATTCCCTGAAGGCTGGCTCTGCTTCCTAGATCACAGCACAGAAAATGACCACCCTCGGCTCCACATCTTACCCTGTCTATGGCTCCAACCAAAGAGAGGTTAATGAACCCTCTCTTAAACCGACTTGCAAATTCTTTGGAAATGGGCAAAATGTTCCATTTTAAGTCATGTGCCCACCCTTGGGTCTGTGCCCACCAAAAGTTCCATATTCTATAAACTTAACCATTCCTATGGGAACCACCCAGATGGGGGAAGTCCACATGCACGAATCAAACAGGTCTTGTAAGCACGTGACTTTGCATTCTTGGGAAAGGATGGTCACCGTCAAGTGCCAACTTGCCCTCAGATTTCCACCCACTCTTTTTCATGTCCTGTTTTATTTCACAGAGAGCTTTACCAGCCCCGAGCTATTGGCCACAGTTGGCCTCACAGAAGAGAGACAAAACTAAAGTCAAGGAAGCTACTTTGATAAGAAAATAATGATGCTAATAGCTATTCTTCTTGTCATTATTCCTTATTTCCCTTGTGCCACATCCTAAGGTCTCCACTAAATGCWGCCCAGGCTTTATGTCATCTGCAGTAATCCTGGGAAGTAAGCATTGCAGATGAAAGACACTGAGACAACCAGAAACTCGAAAGTCTGCTGATAGTGAGGTCGGTCATCCATAAACAGGTTTCAGTCATGATTCACTTCCTGTATTCTCACCTGGGTCTCATGGAAGCCCACGAGGGACATGAAGACTCTTTTTCTAGTAGGAAAATAATAGTTATCCCTCTTGATCAGTCAGAATCTAGCCTGAAAACAGAAATCACACCAGATGCTTTGAACAAGAGGAATTTCATTTCAGGACTTGGTACTGGTAAAGGAATTGCTGAGATGTCAGAAAACCTTCTTCCCGAGCTCTCTTTGAGAAATAAAACTTGTACCTAGCATGCACGAGGCCCTGCATTTGCTCCCCAACAMGGCAGAAGAAAAGAAACTTCCTCATTTTATACATTAAGTTCTGCAGATTTGTTCCGTTCGTTTTTCTATCGATGGTTTTGTTAAACCACTTTGACTGTGGTGTTATTCATTTCCAAATTAGAAATGATAGACTTTTTGCTTTGGGAAAAGTCGTATCTGCATTGTGATAATATGGGACACCCTAATAACCTTACAGACAATTTTCACTTATACATTTATATGCTTGAAAGACCAAGTTTACCCAATCTACATGGTAGTGTTGTATTGTAGGTAGTTCATGCTAAAATCATATTATAGAYGCTCAATAAATACTGAATGAATTAATATTGGGGGAACCAGGGGTAAGATGTAACTCAGTGTTAGAGCTACAGAGGGCRCTTTGGTGCAAGGACCTGAGATGATTGATTGATAGATAGATAGGTAAAAAATTTTCCCAGCTTTGAAAGGCCATTTGAAACAATAATGCTTTAGTAACAATATTTTTGGCACCAAGGGTAAGATGCCTGCAGCATTCAAATTGACATTCCCATMTTTCCCAAGTGGAATCCTCACCAGGGTCTTGGACCTGATGAGCTCCATGTCTGAGATGGGGGTCCAGGTGGGAAAAGTGACAGAGAAGGGGAGGTGACTGAGCCAATCTACATGGTAGTGTTGTATTGTAGGTAGTTCATGCTAAAATCATATTATAGATGCTCAATGAATACTGAATGAATTAACATCGGGGGAGCCCTGGGTAGGGTTCCCACCCCTTCCTCCCTTCCTTTCATGATCGTTGCCATGAGCTCACACTTTCAATCAGTGGTTGTAAAGTGAGCCAGTGGAAGAATGAACCCCAACCGCACCAGACTCTTCCCAGGCAGCGGGCACCTCTGCCCACCAGACACGGACTGACCGAGGCTCCCCCTGGGCTTCACCTACTTAGACTCACCTTATTTTAGAAGAGAAGAGAATTCCTTTGGTTATTTTCCTGATTTCAAGAGTTCTGCACAATGCTTTTAAAGAGACTGACCCCATCTGGAGTTGATTTTTAACCCCCGTTGGAAGATCCAAGCCACTTCCCGCCATGACAAAGTTTCTCCAGCCTTCCGTCAAAATGGCATATTTCTACCATGAACATGGTGTCCTAGAACAATCACACCTCAGGTGGGAGGTCAATGTTCCTGGAGTCTGAAGACAAAGCCATCCRTATTACAGGAAAGCTCTGTGCCCTTGTTAGCAAATAGACTCAGCTGAAAACCACAGACTCCACTCGGCCTGATGGTCACAGGTAGTAACACTGCTGGCCTCTCCCCGGCTTTCTAGGACAGAAGCGACCACCTTCACAAGGTGCAGGCAGCAATCAAAGGTCTTCGTCGGTAGCTGAGAGCCAGACTGGATGCTCTGAATCTGCGTTGACCTGTAGCTTGGCTTTCAGCTGAGTCACTGGGCTAAAGACGGCAAAGAACTTTCCTGTAACATGATGATGATTCCCAGGCTAACTTTAAAAAAAAACTGAGGCTTCTCACTTTCCCTTTCCTTGGCCATTTCAGTTATAGTGTCCAGGCAAAACTGAATTGAAGAACGGGACACCTACACTTGTGCCTCCTCCGTGGAGGGGTCTGCCCGCCACACGCTGTCCCCCATCATTCTTCCTGGAGGGGGCTGTCTGGCTGCTGTAGGAGGTTGAGCCACATCCTGGCCCCACCCACTAGAGTCCAGGGGTATCCACCCAGGTCAGACTTCCCCAAATGTCTCCTGGGGCACAAAATCACCCCGATAAAAATCCCTCAGGCTGTGAGCCCCAAACAAGCAAGCCACCCTGTAAGTGAACATAAGGGGGAACACAGCCCTGCAGGGCAGAGCGGCGAGCACCCCTCTTCCTCCCACCAGTCACACCTCTCTGTGTCCTCTGCAGATATCACCTTCTCAAAGACACCCAACGGCCACACAGAGGTGAGTGAAGGCCAACCCCGGAACCTAGCCAGGTTATGAACACCAGGTAACTGATATCCACGAAGCCCAAAGTCAACATGTGGAGGGGGKTTAGGGCAGGAGACTTGTATTATTATGAACGTGTAATGTTAGCTACTCATAATGTTGTATTATATAATAATGTACTGTATCATGTGTCATTATGTATTAGACGATATTCCTACATTACCCAGTACTATATGTATTGTTTAATTATATTATATAGCATAATTATATGACATTCTTATAATAGTACTGTTATATATGACTAGTTATATGATTTAATTATACATTATAAGATAGTATTAATTATATATCATATTACATACAATTATATGACATAGTATTCGTTTAGGATACTAGTATATGAGACAGCAAGATAAAGATAAATGGTAAGTAGTAGATACACAGAGAGCTAACAGTTCATTATGAGGAGCCAGCTGACATGATTATTGGAGTCTGTCTGCAGTGGGCTAGCCCGTCAGGAGCTCTGTAGCTAGACACCAGGGAAGCAGAAGGATATTAATCTACTTCAAGGGTTGGTAGGCTTGAGTCATAAGAAGAGCCAGTGCTTCTCACTTGAGTCCATGGGGGGGGGACGATGATGTTCCAGTTCAAGACAGTCAGGTAGGAGGTAATTCTCTCCTATAACCTTTTGGCTCCATTCAGGCCCCCCACTGATGGGATGAGCGCCCCCCCCACCTTTGCTCATCCATTCATTCCCTGATGAATATTTAGGTTGTTCTCACACTTTGACCATTGCGAGTTGTGCTCTTATGAATAAGTACTTGTAGGCATCCCTGATTTCAGTTCTCTTAGGTCTCTACCTAAGAGTGGAATTTCTTGGTCGTACAGTAATCTAAATTTTCACATATAGGATTCAGAAAGGGCCATCTGTTTGCTCCATCTAGAAACGCACATGTTAATGTCATCCAGAAACACACTCACAAAAACCATCCAGAAGAATGCTTGACCACATACCTGGGCACCCCCGGGCCCAGTCAAGTTGACACACAAAGTCAACCATCMTGTTCTCAGTCATTGATTTACTCACCTGTAAAAATGAGGTGATCATGGAACCCACCTCCCTCAATATTTGAGAAGATTAAAAGAAATAACGTCTCTGAAGTACTTGGTGCAGTGCGGACCCAGACAGCATATTACACACRCACTGCCATTGCTGTCTCCAGTAGACCGATGACATTGACATGATGCAGAATCACATCACACAACCACCCCCAGGCTGTGGGCAGAAATAATACCAGGCTTACAATAGGAGTTCAAAGAGTGCCCACTGCAGTCACGARCACACCAATCAACAGGTCATCACAGGAACACTGTGTTACAAAATCGCATCTTTGAGTTCCTCAGAAAAATTAAATGTAGACTGGCCATGTCATTCGACAAGTCCACCCTAGGCATACACCCAAGAGAACTGGGACTCAAATACTGTTCATAGCAGCTCTGCCCACAAAAGGCAAAACATGGGAACAAGCTAAAGATCCATCAGTGAGGAAATGGAGAAACAGAAGGTGAGCTCTCCAGACAGTGGGGTATCACGGAGAACCAAGTCCTGACACGTGCCTTGCAAGGTGGAAGAAACTCTAAACACTGTAAAGAGGCCAGATCCAGGGCGAGGGGGGTAGCTCCATGACAGAGCACTTCTCCAGGACCAAAGCCAGAAGGAGCCAGATACACAAGGTCACACAGGATGACTCCATTCACATGAAATGTCCAGCCATGTGCTGTGGTGGGTGCCTCTAGACCCAGCTTCTCTGGACCGAGGTGGGAGGACCACCCGAGCCCAGGAGTCCAGGTCCAGCCTGGGCAACATAGTGAGAACTCATATCAAAAATAAATAAAGAAAAAGTTAGAAATGTCCAGAACAAGAAAATCCACAGGAACAGAAAGAGGACGGATGGTTACCCAGGACTGAAGGAGGGGAAAGWAGGGGCTACTGGGTATGGAGAGTCATTTAGGAGTGACAAAAACATTTTAGGACTACAGAGGGATATTGGCTGTTCACCGTGAGTGTGTGCATGCCACTGACGTGTTCACCTTAAAACGATAAATTTTAGGTTATGCAAATGTCACCTAAAAATGCATTTCAAAAAAAAATGTCATCTTTCTGGGTGAGAATTCTTAAGRGCAAAGACTTCAGCACCTACTCTGTGCAAGTGAATTTAAGCCAAGAAGACTTTAAACACTGTTCAGAGGAGAGGGATAGACTTTATGTATCGGGCAGGAGAATGGGAGGCTACTCCCAAACTAGAAAGCTCAGCTCAGAGCTGGGCACACCTTTAATTCCAGGCACTCGGGAGGCTGAGGCAGGAGGATGGCAAGTTCAAAGCCAGCCTTGGCAGCTTAGTGAGACCCTGTCTCCAAAACAAACAAACAAACAAAAACAAAAAAGCTCCACATTTTCATGAAGATGTTAAAAAGATTTATTTGAACCTCAATTCTGAGAGTTCCTCTAACCCTCTCTTTATTTCATTTTTTGACTGACACACAATGTGTCCGTATCTATGAGATCCAGTGCGATGTTCTCACTCGAGTACATGAGCAGTTATCCATGCAGGGTAATTAGCARATTCACACCGTGACTCCACCATTGCTTTGTAGAGAATCTGCTTAAAATCTCTCTTGGGTGTGTTATGATTAACTGTACCCACTCTCCTGCTCCACAGAGCACCACAACTCCTTCCTCCTGTCCATCTGTGGCATTGAACCACTGACCGACCTTTCTCCCTCCCCTCCCCCTGCCCTTCCTGCCTCTGGCAACCACTATTCTATCCTCAAYTTCCATGGGATCAACATTTTTAGATTYCACAGTGAGATGGGGCAATGTTCGTCCTTCGTGGCTTATTTAAATGTCGCTCTGCTCACATCACTTGGGTGTGATCCCATTTCCCTCTAAAGAGCATCCACTCATCCCAGGAGCATTTACTGAGCATCTTTGCCAGTCTCTATTCCACCTCCTGAGAAAGACCTGCAAACAAGAAAGGTCCCCGCGCTGATGAAGCTCGCCATCTGGGGCTCGATGTCCTCATGAACCCCCAGAGAGTCTTGTGAAGTACAGGTCTGGCTTCAGCATACCTGGCCTGGGGTTTGAGATTCTGCATTCCTAACAGGCTTCCAGATAATGCTGGGTCCTCCAAGGACCATATTTTGACTGCAAAGATATGGGGGGAGACATTCAGCATTAAAAAACTTTCTTTCAAATCACCTTGGCCCTTCCTTCTTCCCCAGCACCTCTCTTGGCTAGTCATCTCTATGAATCTGTTTTCATTACTATAATAAAACACCTGAGACAGGCTAACTATATAAAAAAAGGTTTATTTAGTTCTAGAGGTCAATGAAGTTGGCATCAGCTTGGCTCTAGAGAAGATCTCATGATGGCTGGTGTCACAATAATGTGAGGGGCAGTAGAAATGCGGGGAGGCTCACAATCCCAAACAGGAAGCCAGAGAGCAATTCGAAGGTCAGGTTTTCTCCTATCAGAGTTCACTCTCCCAAGAGCACCGCCCTCAATGACCTAAGGGCCTCCCATTAGACCCCTCCTCTTAAAGGTCCACAGCATCTCCTCACATGGCCACARAGAACCAAGCCTCTGCCACAGAACCCTCAGGGTGCGCCTTCAAACTGTATCCAAGCTCAGCACCATCAGGGTCACGTCCCTTGGTTTGGAAAGGCCAGTCAGAGTGCTCTGAGCTGGAACTCGGATTCAGGGGTTTCTTGGCTTTGCCTACTGGCACTGGAGAGTGGGTCATGCTTGGTAGTGGGCAGGTGTCCTAGTTTCATAGGACATTGAACAGCAAGATGCCAAGAGCAGCCTCCCCCTTGCTATAACACCAACGATTTCTTTCACCACTGGTAAAGGTCTCCAGGTCTCCAGGGTTGGAGAAGGAGCAGATTTTCCACCCAGTTGAGATTCACTGGCCTGTTTCAAACTTACCACGATGGTAATAACTAGCCTTTACATGGTGTTACCAGGCAAAAAGGCTGTTCTGAAAGCACAGCATCTCATAACTCATTCAACTTAAAAAACAAAACAAACACAAAAAAAGGTCCTGTGTCTGTCTTAGGCACAGAAGGATTGAGTGACTTGCCTAAGGTCACACAGCAGGAATGAATAGTGGAGTTAGGATTTGAACCTGGGTCCTCTGGCTCCAGAGCCACCTTCCCACTCTCCCCCTGGATAGGAGAGCTACCAGATTTGGTTTCTAAGAATTCTTTATGTCTTCCAAGCTCCAACAGATTGTCAACAACGTTGAGTCACTTCTCACCAATCAGACTTTCTGGGGAGCAGGAAGCAAGCAAGAAGTCGCTTCAACAGCCTCRTCTATCCTCCAGAATGTGGAATCCAAAGTTCTAGAAACTGCCTTGAGGGCCCCAGGACAAAAAATCCAGAAGGTCCAAAACAGTACTGTGGGTAAGAAGAGGAGCCTGGGTGAAGCGATTAACAAATACACTGCGTGAGCCATTTATATCAGCTGCTAGGAATACAGACTGTTGTGTGAGGAGCAAGGCTGAGAGGGACAACAGGCAGGAGGCAGAACCTCTGGGGAGCCYGACGGGGTGATGGAAATGTCCTCCTAGCACAATCGTGCGGTGGCTTCACAGGCGTAAACTCAACGACTKGAACACTCTGATGTGTGCGGTTTCTTGGACCTTGATCACACCTCCATGAAGATATTGAAATCCCAGCGGTTCAGGAGGCTTAGGCAGGAGGATCGCAAGTTCAAAGCCAGCTACTTAGCGAGGCCCTAAGTAATTTAGTGTCTAAGTAAAATATAAAAAGGGCTAGCTCAGTGGTTAAGCGCCCCTGGGTTCAATCCCTAATACCAAAAAAAAAAAAAAAAAAAAGATATTGAAGCATGATGGTGCATGCCTGTAATCCCAGCTATCGGGAGGCTGAGGTACAAGGATTGCAAGTTCAAGGCCTGCCTTAGCAAGTTAGTGAGATCTCTGTCCAATAAAAAATAAAAAGGGCTGGGGAGTAGCTCAGTGGTAGAGTGTCCTAGGGTTCAATACCCAGCACTGAAAATAATAATAATATTACCATTATTATTATTATTATTATTATTATAAACAATGGTCTCCAATCCTGGGTCTATTATTTTGACTTAAAAGGAATTTAATTTTTGGTGCTGAGCCTATAATTTTGACTTAATTTTGACTTGGGGAGGTGCTGGGGTCTTGTGGTGCTAGGTAAACGCTCCACTGCTGACCACACCCCAGCCCACTAGGCGACTTTCAAAGGTCCTTATTACATCAGTAAACTTGACCCTTGCTCTCCTCACCAGCTGTCGAAACTCGAGTGGTTTCAGACAATTGCTCCAAAGAAAGAGAGGCATTCCGCTTACACACCCAGATGAACTCCGTGGACATCCACTGCATCGATGTCATCCAGGGACGCGCACAAGGTACCRGCCAGCGGCACTCAGGGCCCTCAGAGCGGGGCCTCGGGCAAGTCCCTGGGAAATGTGCCCTGAAGCCTCCTCCCCAATGGGTGGTTGCCCTCGGGCTTTGCCATTCGAGTTTTTTCCTTTCAAAAATACACAAAGACATCTTCCGCAAGGGGAGACGCTCTGATCTGCCACATGGAAAAGACGTCTATGAAATTTGGGGGTCGGGGGTTAATCGTCCCGTGTCTTGGGTTTTGCGTTCACCCAAAGCAGACCTAAGTGAACAGATGTACGGAGTCTGTTTGGAAAATGACACCAGAAAACACCAGCAGGTGTATGAGTGGGGGATCTCCATGAAACCCCACCGACAGGGTGAGGGCCTAGGTGTGTGCTCCCAGGATGACAGAGGCCGGTCGGTCCAAAATCAGCAGTGGGCAGGCCAKTTGGAGACCCAGGGAAGAGCTGATGTCGCAGCTTGAATCCACAGATATTCAGGAGGCAGAAGTTCCCCTTCTCTGGAAGTTCTCAGTCTGCTTTCTCTCAAGGCCTTCAACGTAGATTAGATGAGGTCCACCCACATTTTAAGGAGGGAAATCTGCTTTTACTCAAAATCTATTTACGTCAATGTGAATCTCCTATAAAAAATTTAAAGATATTTTTTAAAAAGCCTTCGCAGCAACCTTCAGACTGATGTKGTACCCAATCTCTAGGTCCCATGGCCTAGCCAAGAGACACATTATTACCTAGGTAAAGAGAAGTGAGACCAAAGCAAAGGCAACCTGTCAGGATACCTGAGCCATCAGGTAACTGCTGGGGCCCAGGGGGCTGCAAGGTGTCCTTCCACTGTGATCCAAGGGGTGCCCTCCCACCTGGCTATTCCACTTAAGGTAGGGACTGAGGAGCTGACCACCTGCTCTGGTCTGTTTGTGGGTGGTAATGGACCCCACCAGCCACCCTGTGGCGGTCACTCAGAGGGTCATGCTGCTTGTCATAGAATCCCTACAGCAGCTTCTACAGCTCATACAGAAATGGTTCTTACCCGTTGTCCCGGGATCAGCAGACTTTCTGATTTTTCAAGACAAACCAAAAATGGGGTTGCATAAGGAAAACTTCCAAATTTTAAGTTTGGCAATGTTTTTCCTCTACTTGCAATGGAAACTTGATAGCTAACAGCATAATAAACGGGGTCTGGCTTCGTCCATTTGGGTTGCTGTTCACAGAATCCTGAGCCTGGGTAATTTACAAAGAACAGAAGTTTGTTTCCCGCTGTTCTCTGGGAGTCTAAGATCAATGCACGGGCTCTTGCTGCGTCCTTCCATCGTGGAGAGAGGAGGGGCGGTAGGGAGAAGACCAACTCCTTCTAACAACTTCTAGAGTGCCGTTCAMGTGTTCATGCAGGCAGAGCCTTTGTGACCCAAACACCTCCCAAAAGGCCCTACCTCCCAACACGGCTGCATGGGGGATTAAATTTCCAGCACACAAATTTGGTGGAACACACTCAGACCTAACAGGAACCATCAAAGGCTTTATACC